CTCGAACTCACAAAGATCCTCCTGCCTCAGCCTCCCGCGTGCTGGGATTACAGGCGTGTGCCACCACGCCTGGCATATAGCCACATTTTAATGTGCTAGAGCTGAGGCCCTTAGAAGAACACGGCACCATCCCTGTCCCCCAAGAGGAAGACAGCGAGGCCCAGAGGAGTAGAGGGACCTGCCTGAGGCTACAGCTAGGGAGAAGCAAGCCAGAGGTGTGACCCTGGGCATTCTGACAGTAGAGTTCATGGGGTTTTTGGCGGTGCCAGGCACGGAACTCCGGGCCTTTATCCCTAGCTGCACCCCCAGCTCTTAAGTCTCATGGGCATAGCTGCCCCGGGAGACGGAGTGTCCCTTTCAGGGTGCGGCAGGGGGCCCCCAGCGACAGAGGTGCGGTGTCCTGTCTTGTAGGTCCTGGCGGACACCAAAGAGCTCGTGTCGGCAAAGGTATCAGAGGCCCGAGACGCGGTGTCCCACACCGTGTCGAGCGCCAAGGACTCCGTGGCCACCCGCGTGGCGGGCGCGGTGGACGTGACCCGCGGGGCTGTGCAGAGCGGGGTGGACATGACCAAGTCGGCGGTGACCAGTGGCGTCCAGTCGGTCATAGAGTCGCGCGTAGGGCAGATGGTGCTGAGCGGGGCGGAGACCGTGCTGGGCAAGTCGGAGGCCTGGGCCGACAACCACCTGCCCATGACGAATGCGGAGCTGGGTGAGTGCCGCGTCCTTAATCCCTGCAGCCTGTCTTCCCCACGGCAGCCACCAGGGGGCGCTGTGAGCACCGAATTCGGTCCTCTCTTCTCTACCCTCTCCCCTCCGGGGCTCCAGCAGCCCGAAGGTCCCCTGCACGGCCACCGTCCCCTCCCACCTCCTTGCTTTATTTTGTGCCCCTCGCTTTCTCTGCTTCTGCACTGTGCTGGCTCCATTCTGTCCCAGGGCCTTTGCACAGGTGTGCCCTGTGTCCATTTGGCTCCTCCAAATGTCACCTCCTCAGAAATGTCTACCCAGTCCCCATTATTTTCGCTTTAGCTTGATTTTTGTTACTGAAATGGTGAATTCTGTGAGGGGCAGAGTTTGACCTTGAACATAGCTCCAGGATCTAGCATACAGCAGGTGCTCAGTAAACCTTTTTTATAGCCAAGATATAGCTCAGTGGCATAAGTGTCTGCCTGGCAAGTGCAAGGTCCTGAGTTCAATTCCTGGTACAAAAAAAAAAACAAAGAAAGAAAGAAAACCTTCAATAAACCTTTTTTCTGTTGGTGGAATGGGGTACTGAACCCAGGGCCTTCACACTGAGGTACATTCCCAGGCCTTTTTGTTGTTGTTGTTGTTTCGTTTTTCGTTTTTCTTCCGGTACCAGGAATCGAACTCATGACCTTACGCTTGCCAGGCAGGCGCTTTGCTGCTGAGCTAAATCCCCAGGCCCCAGGCCTTTTTTATTTCAAGGCAGGGTCTCTTTAAGTCACAAAGTTGCCCATTCTGGGCTTCAATTTGTGGCATTCTTTCTGCCTCAGCCTCCCAGAGTGCTAGGATGTTAGGTGTGGCTCCACATGCACTTGAACTTTTAGTTTTTTATGTTTTGTTTGTTTTTTGTCTTTTTTTGGGGGGGGTGGTTCTGGTACCGGGAACCCAACTCACAACCTTGCGCTTGCCAGGCAGGTGCTGTGCCCCTGAGCTAAATCCCTAGCCCCATTGTTTTTTGTCTTTTTGAGACAGGGTCTCACTATGCAGTTCAGGCTGGCCTTGAGCTCATTTTGTAGCCCAGGCTGGTCTCGAACTTGCAGTGATCCTCCTGCCTCAGCCTCCTCAGTGCTGGGAGTACAGCTGTGCACCACTATGCCTGGCGATTGAATTCTTAAATGAGCAAAGAGGCTTGGGGGTTACACGGGCTGGGCAGGGGGACAACAGAGAAGAAGCTGTTTCTATATGATTTTTTTAGGTAAGGGTTTGAGTGCCTGCTGAACGCCAGGCCCCATTCTAGACTTGGGACCCATCAAGAAAATATTCCTGCCAAAGGGAACAGCCTGTGCAAAGGTCCTGTGGCAGCAGTATCTTCCAGGATCAGCAAAAAAGCTGGTGTGGTCAGGGCCAGGAGTGTGATGATGGGATCATACAGGGTAGTGGCAGGAATGGAAAGAATGGCAAATGGGGAGTCCTTGTCCCTTCCTGCTCCAGGCTGCCGGCCTTGTCTCCAAGGCCCCGGCAGCCTGTGAGTGCTGGGACCAGGGTACAGAAGGGACCTCTCACTGGGACCTCTCCCCCACCCCAGCACGGCTCGCCACGTCCCTGGAGGGCTTTGACGTGGCCTCGGTGCAGCAGCAGCGACAAGAACAGAGCTACTTCGTGCGCCTCGGTGCGCTGTCTGAGCGCATGCGCCAGCACGCCTACGAGCACTCCCTGGCGAAGCTACGCAGCACCAAGGAGCGCGCACAGGCGGCGCTGCAGCAGCTGGCGCATGCGCTCAGTCTGGTGAGGGGGGTGCGGCGGGGCTGTGTGGGCAGGGCAAGCCTTCCTGTGGTGGGCGGAGCCTCTCACCTGGGCAGGTGCACTGGACAGGTACACCTGGCTGGGGCTGTGGTTATACGTTGCGTGTGTTGTGTAAGAAAGGGTACTGCCTGGCCAGGTGTGGTGGCGCACGCCTGTTATCCCAGCACTCTGGGAGGCTGAGGCAGGAGGGTCTCAAGGTGGAGCCCAGCCTGGAGAACTTAGCGACTTAGCGAGACCTTGTCTCAGAATAAGTAGAGAAGGGGAGCTGCAAATGTATCTTATGGCGCAGGCCCTGAGGTCCATCACCAACACAGTTTAAAAAACAAAACGTCCAATGGGAAACGAGCGCCCCCCAGCTCCCCGGAGGCGCTCCTGCCCCTCACTGCTCTCTCTGCCGCAGATGGAAACCGTCAAGGGGGGAGTGGACCGGAAGCTGCTGGAGGGGCAGGAGAAGCTGCACCAGATGTGGCTGAGTTGGAACCAGAAAGCATCTCAGGGCACAGAGGACCCAGCCGCGCCAGAGGTACCCACGGGCGGGCGGCAGGTGTGGGGCCCGCATCGCCCTGGAGGCTGCACCGCCTCCCGGCCCGAGGCTTTCCCAGCCTCTCCCGTCTTAACTGTTTGCAAACACCACATGGTGCCTCCCCCAGGAAACCCCCGAGGGTTTCTCTCCTGGGTGTGGCTGTAGCTTGTAAAATCAGGGTGCTCCGTATTGGTGCAGCCTGCTAAGTGCCAACCCAGGTGACGCCCTTGAGTCCCTCAGTCCTGTTCCCACCCGCCCCAGGGCCCCACACATGTGTGCTATTCACAAAGCCTGTGCAGCAGCCTTTAACAATCTCTGGTCTCGCTGGGAATATAGCTCAAGGCACCAGCGCTTGCCTGGTAAGCACAAGGTCCTGAATTCGAGTTCCAGCACCAAAACAAGAAAAAGAAAGAAAAAAAAACTCTGGCCTGGTCCGCACTGTCCCAGGCAAGGGCTCTTAATGCCACTGGAGCTGCCTGTTGCTGTAGATGGGACTAAATGCATGCCAGACCCCAAGTTCCAGCCCCGAGAGGGCAACTGAGCCTCCGCAATCCTCCTGCCTCAGCCTCCTAAGTGCTGGCCTATACCACCACAGCTGATACTTCCATTTTGTATTTTCAGACAGAGTCTTGTTAACTTGCTAGGTTTCCCAGGCTGGGCTCGAACTTCCAACCCTCCTCTCTCAGCCTTCTGAAGGCTGGTATTTTAAGCGTGCATCGGCCAGGTGTGGTGGTACATGCCTGTAATCCCACACTTGGGAGGCTGAGGCAGGAGGATTGCTGCAAATTGGAGGCCAACCTGAGCAACACAGTGAGATCTTGTCTCAAAAAATAAAAAAAAAACTGAGCTGAGCACACTGGTGCATGCAGCCTGGACGGCAGGAGGATCACGAGCTCAAGCCCGGTGTGAGCAACTTGGCGAGACCCCGTCTCAAGATACAAACTGAAAAGGGCCAGGGTGCAGTCTCCACCCCGGAAAGCACCCCCGCCCGCCCCCGGAAGAGGCCTGCGGCTCAGCGGCGCCTCTCGCTGTCCCTGCAGGTGGAGTCGCGGGCACTGGCCATGTGCCGCGAGGTGGCGCAGCAGCTGCAGAGCACGTGCGTGTCCCTGGGCGCCAGCATCCAGGGGCTGCCCGCGCACGTGAAGGACCAGGCCCAGCAGGCGCGCCGCCTCGTCGAGGACCTGCAGGCCACCTTCGCCGGCGCCCGCTCCTTCCAGGACCTGCCCGCCAGCGTCCTCGAGCAGAGCCGCCAGCGCGTGGCCCGGGCGCGCGAGGCCCTGGAGCGCATGGTGGAGTCGGTGGCCCAGAACGCGCCGGTCACATGGCTGGTGGGGCCCTTCGCCCCGGGCATCACCGAGAAAGCCCCAGGCGAGGAGAAGTAGGCGGAGGGCGTGGCCGTGTCTCCCCCCCCCCCCCCGGCAGCATGGCTGCGCACTCCCGCCAGCAGCTCACTGCAAACCCATCCCTTCCTTCTACTTTTCCTTTGCGTTGGAGGCACTGGGGCCTGAGCCCTGGGCCTTGGCACTGAGCTCAGTCCTGGGCCTTTGTATTTTATATTGTATGACAGGGTCCCCCAAGTGGCTGAGTTGCCTGGACTAGGACTTGCGGTCTGAGGACCCAGCCTCCAAGGGTGGGTGGTGTGTGTGGGGGGGGCTCGTTCTGGGTCCAAAAGGGGCTGAGGCCTGGAAGGGGACCTTTGTCCCAGTACCTGGTGCCAGAGTTGCCTTAATAAACTTTACCTGCAGCTTAGTCCCGCTGTCTGTGTGTGTGTGTTTTAGTCTGTTCTTGCTGCTAAAACAAAAATGGCTTAGAACAGGCACGGTGGCACATGCCTGTCATTCAGCAACTCAGGAGGCTGAGGCAGGAGGATTGCAAGTTTGAGCCCTGCCTGGGCAACTAGGCAATTTAGAAAGATACAGTCTCAAAATGAAAAGTGAAAAAGGGCTGGGAATATAGCCCAGTGTGAAAGCCCTGGACAGAATTTCAGTAAGGAAAAAAAGGGGATAAATACATCTATTGTCCATTTTCACTGCTGTATAATCATCCAATGTGATTGTTTGTTTTGGTACCTGGAATTGAACTCAGGACCTTGCTTGTGCTTGCCCGGCCAGTGATTGTGTCACTGAGCTATATCCCCAGCCCCCTTCATTCAGTGTGGATGTCTTGGTTACTTTTCTCTTATTGCTGAGATAAAATACCTGACATCCACAATTAAAGAAGGAAAGGTTTATTTAGCTCACAGTTTGTGGCGGTTTCAGTCCATACTCGGCTGGCTGCAAGGCAGGGTGGCACATGGCAGAGGACAACAGTTCATGGATGCAGAAGACAGCAAAACAAGAGCAAAAGGGAGGAGTGGCAGAGAAGAGCAAGCCTCAGGGCTGGCATATAGCTCAGCGGCACAAGCGCCTGCCTGGCAAACGCAAGGTCCTGAGTTCGAGTCCCAGTACCAAAAAAAAAAAAAGAGCAAGCCTCTTTCCCTCCCGTATATTGTAAACTGGCCTCCCCCGCCCAGGGGACATGAAGCAGTCACACAATCTCCATGCCCTGCTCTTGCACAGGCAGAAGATGATACAAAGTAAGCACCCTGGCTCCCTGCTGAGTCACACAGGAAACCCTCTAAACTTCTCAAATTGACACAATAAACAACATCCCAGAAGGGTAAGGGTATGACCTGTTCACCCCAAGATGCAGAACTGCTGAGTCACTTAGCCAAACCTCTAGACTCCCCAAGTTTTTTTTTTTTTTTTTGTCTTTTTGAGACAGGGTCTCGCTATGCAGTTCAGGCTGGACTGGAGCTCACTTTGTAGCCCAGGCTGGTCTTGAATTTACAAGGATCCTCCTGCCTCAGCCTCCTGAGTGCTGGGATTACAGGCGTGCCCCACCAGGACGTGCTCAACTCCCCAAGTTGACACACTGTATCAACCATGACAGGAGAATTACACAGCAAGGAAAAGGACAGGGCCCCAGTGCCTGTGTGTATCCATAGCTGAAGCTTCCTGGGAGGCTGGGATAGGAGGCAGGAGTTTTCTCAACATGGAGGAAGCTCACAAGCAGAATGGTGGGTAAAAGAAGCCGGACACGAAAGTACCTTCGAGGCCAAAGTTTAGACACAGATCATGCTTGGTGGTGAGGAAGCCAGAAGCCAGAGCCATTGCTTGTGGGACCGTGAGCAAAACAGGCTGAGGAGCCTGGGAATGGCAAACGGCTGGTGTTTTGTTAATTTTGTTGCTGGGTTGGAACCCGCAGCCTCAGCACTGAGCTGCGCCCCAGCCATTTTTATTTTTTGAGAGAGGGTCTTTCTAAGCTGCCCCGGCTGACTTCCAACTTGAGATCCCCCTGCCTCAGCCTGATGCCCTCCCAGGGCCAGGCCTGCTTGGCACACAGTAGGTACCCAGTGAGGTCTGGGCTGCACGTGAGCGTGAGGCAGCTGGACAGAGGCCGCGGGACCTCATTTCTCTGTCCCACCCACGCGGACGCTCCCGAGGACGCTTGGTGACGCGCAACCTGCGGCCCGGGACCGCTGGGGATCTTTGCTAGGAGTCTGGGGTGCCGGCGGCTCTTGAGGGGGACGAGTCCGTTCTCTGTTTCCGCCCACGCTGACTGCCGTTTCCGCTTCCTCAATTATGAGTGATGCAGCACCCAGCCTGGGCCCTGTCCCCCGCCCCTGTCCCCAGCAGACACTGCGTACTTCCGTGGCCCTTTCCATGCTGCAGAGAACCCGAAACAGGGCTGCTGCCTGGTCACCAGGCAAAGTCACTGTTGCCCGGTGTGGTATATGTGGTGTGCGACTGTCATCCCAGCACTAGGGAGGCTGAGGCAGGAGGATTGCTGTGAATTCGAGGCCAGCCTCAAAAAAAAAATTTTTAAACCAGGCACAGTGGCGCACACCTGTAATTTTAGTACTCAGGAGGCTGAGGCAGGAGGCTTGTTGTGAGTTCTAGGCCAGCCTGGGCTACAAAGTGAGCTCAAGGCCAACCTGAACTGCATAGTGAGACCCTGTCTCAAAAAGACAAAAAAAAAAAAAAAAAAAGAAGAAGAAGAAGAAAAACATTTTAAAAATTAAATTAAAAAACTTGTGGTAAAATATATGTAATATAAAATTATGGTAGCTTTTTTCAGTGGTGGGGTCAACCTAGGGTTTTGCACTCGATAAGCACATGTTCTACCTCTGAGCCGCACCCAGCCCCCTTCTGACCATTTTTTTTCTTTTTTTTTCTTTAAATTTTTTGAGAAAAGGTCTCACTATGTAGCCCAGGCTGGGCTCAAACTCACAGGGATCCTCCTGCCTCAGCCTCCAGAGTGCTGGGATCACAGGCGTGCGCCACCACACCTGGTGACCATTTCTAACTGTACAGCTCAGTGGCGTTGAGCACATCCCACAGCTGTATGCTGTCCACGCTGTCCACCTCCAGGACTTTTCATCTCCCCTAGATGAGCCTCCGTCCCCAGGAAACGCTGACTCCCGTCCCCTCCCAGCCCAGCACCACCATCCTCCTTCCTGTCTCTGAGGCTCTGATGATGCCAGGCCTCCCAGGAGTGGGGTCCTACTGTGCATGTCTTGTGTGTGGCTGGGTTCCCTGAGCAGCATGGCCTCAAGGTCCATTCCTGCTGTAGCAATGCCAGGATTTCCATTTCATGGCTGAGTAATATTCCAAAATGTGGGTGGACCACACTGTACACATTCATTGGGCAACATAACATTAAGTTGTTGCTTTTTTGTTTGTTTTTGAGACAGTGTCTTGCCATGTAATCCAGATTGGCTTCAAACTCAAGGCAGTCCTTCTGCCTCAGCCTTCCAAGTGCTAGGCTCACAGGCATGTGCCACTAGACAGGGCTTTCATTTTTTAAATTTTATTTTTGAGACAGGGTGTTGCTGTGTAGTCAGGCTGCTGGAAACTCACTAGGAAGCTCAAAGTGGCCTTGAACTCTCCTGCCTCAGCCTCCTATGTGCTGGGATTACAGGTGTGCAAAGTCATGCCCAGCTAGGAGATCTTTTTTTATTGTTCCAAAATTTAATTAAAAATACAATTTACAAATGGTTAATATTGGGGCTGGGGATTTAGCTCAGCAGCAAAGCACCTGCCTGGGAAGCGCAAGGTCGTGAGTTCGATTCCTGGTACCGGAAGAAAAACAAAAACAAACATACAAATGGTTAATATCTTTTGAGAAGCATTTCCAAGCTCAGAATGAAGAACATATGTAGCTAATCTATAATCAAATACCAGTTGCCCTCAGCTCCCCTCAAGCCT